TTCAAGGTCCACAAAGTCCTGCGCCTGCCACAAAATCTGCACTCCAAGGGCCACAAAGTACTACACCTGCCACGAAATCTGCACTTCAAGGCCCACAAAAAGTCCTGCGCCTGCCACAAACTCTGCACTCCAAGGCCCACAAAGTCCTGCCTGCCACGAAATGTGCTTTGCAAGGTCCACAAAGTACTGCACCTGCCACGAAACACGAAAAACAAAAAAACATCCAGAAATATATTCGCAACCCTAACCTACTAGCGATGGCCTCCGAACTAGTAGCTATGGCCTCCAACATACTAACGATGGCCTTCAACCTACTAGCGATGGCCTCCAACCTACTAGCGATGGCTCCAACCTAGTAGCAATGGCCTCCAACCTACTACTAGCGATGGCCTCCAAACTACTAGCGATGGCCTCCAACCTACTAGCTTTGGCCTCCAACCTACTAGCGATGGCCTCCAACTTAGTAGCGACGGCCTCCAACCTAGTAGCGACGGCCTCCAATTAGTAGCGATGGCCTCCAGCCTACTAGTGATGGCCTCCAACTAGCGAGGGATGGCCTCCGACCTGCTAGCGGTGGCCTCCAACCTACTAGCGATGGCCTCCATCCATGGTACGGCTTCAAAAGCCTAGTTCTTGATCATTGCAGTAGCTCACACATGCTCACACCATCAGGGCCTCTTGTGGAAGGCGCCTGAACAGCTTCCAATCCTGCGCTGGATCCAAATCAGCCCATTGCCTTGTTTGATATTGACCTTCCTGCCTCCACTTCTGATGCTATGGTTTTTCACGAAGAGCCTGCCGCAGTGCCTGTCGCTGTTCTAGAGGAACATCACGAAATGGCCGGTTGTGCAGTGTCTTATACGATTCTTTCAGCCCTCCCTCTTTAGCCTGTGTCAGCCACGCGGCATAACCTTCAGACACCATCCAAGGCAAATCTTCTTGACACGATCCTGCATGCTTTTAGCTTGAGGGAGGAGTTCACAGGCCACCAGTGCTGCTTCACCATGTGGGATTGCTGGCATCTTGTGAGCAAACTGCTGACCCTCACCCGCCTGGAAATGCCACCTATACAGCACATTTGCTTGCTTGGCGGCTTGCAGGAGCCTTCCAGCATTGGGCATGAGACATCCTTTCGCACAAATGTGCTGCAAGAGGGTGCATAGCTGGGTCCACCCGGCCAAATCTCCTTTCCTCCATGGGCCGAGGGTACTCGAGCGTGGGAGTGGCTTACAATCCATGACCAAGTACCATCCACGGCCAACCCCAGGATTGTCAAGTCCTTGAAGTGAGTACAATTCAGCTTGATGACAGAAGGCAGCCAAGTCCAACTTCCTTTGCCCAAGAGGCCTACCCATCCAAGGTACTGGTTCCCGAGCAGCTAATCGAGGAAATGGTGCATGCGTGTTCACCTGTGCCAATTGAAGGTGCGGTGCATTTTGTTCAATCTCCTAGCCATGTGGCATCCAGGCAAAGGGCGCCAAGTCCTTTGAAATGAGCATAGTCAAGTTCACTGCCAGACAATATCGTGGCCTCCCCAGTGGGACTTCGGCCTGCACGACCTTCAAAAGCTGGTGTCCATGCTACATCGAGGGCTCAACGTTCGAAGATCTTTTAACATGACCGCTAACTCTGCTAGGACCTTCCCATTGGTACCAGAGGTGTGGTCTTCCCCAGTCTTCAACTCAACACTCATGTCCGACAACCAGCTCCCAACTGTTTTTCTCTATATACCAAGGGATAATCGGCAATGAATCCATGACCCATGGAAATGCTATCTGTCGTGGCTAAGCAGACGGAGGCTTCACCATCCCTCACAGACAAGCCAGCCTCCAGAGGTGCCACCCGGAGCCAGTCTCAGCCACCCTGAGCGCTGCGGTGAAGCTGCATCACTGTGCACAAGGAATCCCTCCTCAAGTGCGTCTCAACTAACATGCAAGCTTCAGTCCGAAATTGTTTCAGCCAAGTGAAGACTTTTTGCGTTCCAATTATATAGTGACCTTGCCACAAAGAACGACCACTGCCTTCTTTCGTTTCTTGACCACTTTACCAAAGTGTCCAATGGGCTCATGCCAGAAGGAAGTTGGCCGTACCCTGGAGGCAAAGATCCGGCTCACGCTCCTCGCATGAATTCTTCCGGCCATTGTTCAACGTGAACTGGACAAGCTCCATCATCACTCTACCACATCACATCACCAGAAACTATGCCACAGGTTTGATGTCCTGAACTTCTTTCAGCACCAACATGAGACACTTGACACTACAGCTTTAAGATGCTTCAAGAATCTGTGAGACATCTACACCCGCTTTCTCTCGCTCTCGGGCCACCTGCCGTTTAGTTTTATAAAGTTTCATAGTTTGAATCAGACTCAGTAATTATATAGACCAGTTCGGCGGTATCCCTTGTTGTTCATCGTTGAACACACTTGTTGAGTGTGACTGAAACATGCTGAAACGGTTGTCAACTGCTCATTGCGACTGGGCTGCTACGAAACAGGAACACCTCAGCAAGTCGCCGGTTGGTGTGCAACCTCCAATGAAAGACCATGCCGTTGACGATGTGCAATGCTTTGGCATATGTGACATCATGTGACATGTCTAGACAAGCTTTATATAACTTGTTTCAAGCACTCGGGGTGTCCATGAAACAGTATGGGTCATGTCGCACAAAATCTGCAACAGGATCTGCGCGCTCAAACCATCACGGTTTGCATGGAGGCTTTGTATGGTGTCACCGGAGCTGCAGCCATGGCAGAAGGGATCGCAAATGACATGGGCCTTGAAGCAGCAGATGAAGGGGCGCTGGCCTTGGAGTAAGCATCAGCACGACACAGAGGAGCCAAAAATGATTGAACATCACAAGAGCAGGAGCAGAGTAGGTAGTGGTACCGTGGTGCATCATTTGCAATCAGGTCACCATTTTCAGAGTGAGTTCATGAGCTAATGAGGCTCATTCGAGCTAGGATCGCTGGACAGCGCAAGAGACGGTAGTCCAGAAGACGGGCTCATGGTTTAGGCAAGTTGAAAAGTGATTTCCAAGATTCAGCAAGGTCAAAGAGTCAAAGATATTAAAGTTTTAGATTCGATCAGAGTCTAGGATTGCAATCATTAATTAATGTGTTTACCTGCTCATTGCATGTGATCTACCACCAAGATGCCAAGATGCGAATATGTGCGACGCAGATTTCTGGAGCAGACTGGGCACTTGAATGCCTGGAGAAAATCTACTTTGGATGATAGCAAGGGTTTGCTTCATATAGTAAAAAGTGCATCGCCACTACAAGGATGCTAGTATATAGTAATGCCCTTGTTACTAGTAGTACCTAGTAGTAATGCCCTTGTTACTAGTGCAAGGGTTTGCTTCACATGGTGTGCTTCACCGAGGCTACCTGGAAACCTCGCGAACAAAATATTTTTCCCCAGAATGCAGAGAAGAAACACTTGCCTTGAACTCCGCATTTTGGTGCATTTTGTTGCCGGTTTGGTATTTATGAAAATGGATTGAGATAGCATACATGTCCAACAGATGTGAAAGCTGTGAATGCCTGAGCATGGCGACACTCTATGGCTTTGGACGAGGATGCAGTGTGCACTTTGTCTCAGTCATCCTGGCACGATGGGAGCAGTACACATGATATACATGATGCAGAGCAATGAACCCAGCGGCACCTGAGTTCATCCCGAGCCAGGCCATTTCAGACCATGATTGACTTCGAGAGTTGATAGATCTTGATATATTTTGTAATTCACATGTTTTCACGGATTTCTCTTGATCCGTTCCGATGTTTTTCGCCTCGCCGGTCGAGGTGTCCATCCCGCCTGCCTGGCACCCTCAACAGCCGTGCTTTCAATGGCGTAACGCCTCGCTTCGGGAGCTCCGGCGCCTCGAAGAGGACTCGGCCAAGCGCCTGCAACGCTGCTGGCGGCGATGGTGTGTGAAGAAGGGGGTGATGATGGGCGCGCAGATGGGCGCGACAGCCCAAAAGACCCTCCTGAGCCTTGAGGCGAAGTGGTTGAGAAGTGATCTTTATGCTGTTGCTTCTGTTTATTGTCCCAGAATCAGATCGTTGCGAAGCTTTTGGGCAACACATCCGGAGATCGATTCAAGATGAGACCCTTTCAAAGGACAATCGAAGGCAAAGTTTGCAACCAGTGCGATTTTGGGCCGTGATTCTGCTGGATAATTCTGCAGATGATCTTGAGGTGACCACGCCAAAGGCGGTTGAAGAGCCATCTCTCAAGGTCAGGAGTAAAACTGGGGGATGTAGTTCAGTCTATTATGTCTATTCATTTGCTAGTTTCGTTGCACATAACCAGAAACATCCAGAAACATATGTAATTATCACTCCAACTTGATCCATCATCCAGGCTGCCAAGGAACGGAGACGACGCCCAGCTCACCGCCATGAGTCCTGGCAGGCGGTTATGGGTTGGACGGGTTTGTGTTGCTATGCCCAAAGGCGTGTAGGTTTAAAGGACTCATTGACTCATGGATGATGTGTGAGGCATGGATGACATGGGACGATTCTTGGTGGGGAGAGAGGCGCGGGTTCACTTTGATGGAGGTGCTATATGCAAGGAAGAGACCAGTTTACTGCGATTGTTGGCACACAGACATGTACAAACCTTGTGCTGCTAGGCACTCTAGCTGGAACTCAAACTGGCCAGGCATACTGCAAACGGTCCACCAAACACCATTGTTCCAAGTTTGCAACCTGCAAGGCCCTTGGGAAGCTTCGACATCAAAACCGCGGAGAGAAGCCCACCACTTAGCCATTTGCTGCGGGGAACTCGAATGTGATGCACATGGGCGTTTGAGAATCCTAGGTCCATTGGGTTCCCAAGAATCGCAATCGTTCGGGCAAAGGCAGGAGTTCCTGGCAATTCCGGACAGGTCATTTTGGTCGTTGTAGCGGATTTCCTGTTGTGTCGTGGTCCATTCTTCACATCACTAGACACAGCCTGTACATGGGGCTTGCTATCATTTGCAATGTTTCGCCGCTGGCGAGCGTTTCAGTGCTGAGACTTCGGCAGATGCTGCAGGCCTGCTGCAGGCCCAATCCTTGCACCATCAGCCAATATCGTTTGGCCTTTTTTAAGGTCACTCGCGGGTTGATACGACTGACCCAGAGGACTGCTCACACCGTGTTTGCCTTAGAATTTGTGGAATCAACACTTGAATTGATGCATGATAACTTCTAGAATTTTCCACAAGCATTCGCTCCGCGGGGCAGTACCGCTCAGCTCCAGTGAAGACGGTGTGATCGGACCGACCGTCGTTCTCCGAAGACTCGGCGCAGGGAGTGCTTGGTCTCGGCGGGTCGAGGCAAGTGATTGAAGGATTGACGAATGGGCCAGAATGATCTTTATATATAATATATATATATATATTATATTTATATCATTCTGAATCATATATTTAGTTTAAATCTTTGCAATCCTGTTTTGCAAAGGGTTTCCGGGGTGCGCATCGCGGCACACTGGTGGATGGGATGATATGATAGGGATGTGCACTTCCAAAGCTTCTCAGGCATCTTCAACCCTTCGAGGCAAGGCCTTGGTGTAGTCTGTAGTCGTCGAACGAGTCACCCTGGATCAAAAACACGCAACACTTGCAGCCGTGTGTTGGTGTTTGATGGCTGGAAAACCAGGTCGAAGCCAGCCGCCACGAGGAGTTCCATAAACAATCGTGAGCCTTTCAACTTCATGCATGCTGCCCTTGTAGGACATACCCGCAATCGAAATCAGGAGCTCATGACCATGTGAGTTATGAGATGTTGTGAGTTATGACTCTGACATATACTATTAGATACTATTAGTAGCCAATTTGCTACTAGGAAGAAAGGGCATCGCTACTAGGAACAAAGGTGTATCATAGGTGTATCTAATTTGAATTAGGAGAGCTTTGATCGACCTTAAGAGGCGCATATGACGCCGAGAGGACTGGAGTGATGCACAGGCGTTCCCCCGAGCGACATGGCGGAAGAAGCCTTTCTCTCAGCTCAAGTGCCAGCTGCCAATACTTTGTTGCCGGGTTAGATGGTTTGCTTGTAGATGCTTTTGGGATTGCTCCACTGGTTGGGCGGAGGTGTGTCATGGTATGTCCAACCATGTCCAAGCAACAACTCAACAAGCACCTTTGCTGCCCATGGTTCAACTCTATACAGTGTTGTATATATACATGCATATAATGTATATATATATATATCGCCCAATGTGCCAAAACGGTCGCATGAGTTAAGCTGAGTCAAAGAGCTTTCCCAAGGTCGGCACCCCCCATTGGCTCTGGAGACTCTTCCAGGTCGGCAGCTGCTATGCGCCAACTTGCTGTCGTTGGCTTTTGACTGGTGTATTCAATGTTTTTGCCCTGGTGGATTCAATCATGTTTAATGCATGCATTTCAGGTAAGCGTATAGGGGCAAACTCAGCTCCGCATAAGCTGCCCAAATTCCTTGTGGAATGCCTCAAGAGACTCCAATGCAAAAGTGTTTTGCGCTGTGCATTCCCGACAGGTCGCTGCGCCACAGTCGAGTGATTTCTTCCTGAGAACCATCACGACATCCCATGAGTATCCAGCAAGATGGCACTGACATGACAACTTTTAGTCATCCACTTGCAGACTTGCAGCCCCCATGTCCACTTTGCCTTTTAGCGCACCTTGTCTAAGAAGTTGTATTGCACCCAACCCCCTTTCCACAAAACCGCATTCGGTTGGATCTATGGTTGTGTATGCCTTGACGGGTCAGTTGTTTTTGCGGCTTTGCTTCTGGTCAGGGCCATGCCTTCAGCACAGCAGTTGCAGGCGAGTTTGCAAAAACACAAGTTCAACCAGCTGGAAGGATCTGGAACTCACTCGAAACCTTTTCAACTGAGCTTACATGAGCTTACGTGACAATGCAACCTGCATGGAATGCTTGACTGTCTCAGAGTCTTACATATTCCAACCCCCCAAAAAAGACATTTGTTTGGTGTGAAAAAGCTGGTGACTTCATGTGACATCTCTCCAGGACCACCGTCCACCGTCACCGCGGTTCGCTTCACCTCCCTCCAGCTCCCACGAGGAACCTCGCGAGGCTGTCGATCGCCGAGGGTCGAGTCGGTAGTAGCGTCCTTGTTCCTAGTAGCTTCTTGCTCCTAGTAGCGATGCCAGGAGCCCCTAGTAGCTTCTTAAGAAGTTGGGAAGGATCACGAAGCGAGTTCGATGAGCGAGTTTCATAAGCGAGCAACGATTTCGAGCTTCGCAACCGCAGCTTTCTGGGCTGCGCCTGCCCAAAGCAATGAGAGCACAAGAAATGCCAGTGCCACCGCCAGTGCGCCACACTCCACCAACAAAATGATCAAAAGATATCAAAAGGGTATAAAAGGGTATGAATCAGACTGGAGCCAGGTTCCCAAGTTGCAAGAGCTTCACAACGACACGTAGCGGCGTAGCGCACGCTGGCAGACTGGTCCAACACGGGTGGTTTGTGGAACTGAACAGATGGCAGCTGACAGAGAGCCATTTCTGCAGATGAGGAGCAATACCAAGGCACACCTCACAGCGGCTTGGAAGTGTTATTGCATGAGACTCTGCTCCACTTCATGACTACCTTTCAAGTCGCATTCGAATTTGCCATCGGATGGATTGATGTAGGGGTGTCGCAAGCCAAATGCTGGGGCTTGCATGGGCTTGTTGTTAAGGTGCGTAGATCTAAGATCACCAGTGCCTTGAGTGCCCCCCTCTTGCAGGTGCAAACCCGGCAAGTCCTGCAACCCAACAGGTCTGGCATCTGTTCTCTGACGTTTTGACGGAGCTGAGGTGTTCTTCGAAGGCACGGCCAACACCATCGAGCCCTTGACCACACAAATTGGTTTGTTCTTTATGCTCACAGGCTGGGACACCTTTGCTGCTCCAGAGATTCATATGCGGCCAATGAAGACCCAATGACTCCTTTGTGTGAGCTGGGTAAGGGACGTAGCATGAAGCGCTCAAAATTGGACCGAGCTCAATTTGAAGGGGTTCTTCGAAGAGTTCTTAGGTATCCCATGGTATCCCTGGGAACAGCGAAGAACTAAGCGAAAGTAATGCGAAGATGTCAAGCACAACTCAAAGAGCCCATGAGTTCTGGTAGAACACTTAACCAGAAGCTACTAGTAACAAGTGCCTTACTACTAGGAACAAGAAGCTATTAGAAACA